CTCCGGGCACCATGGGACCTGCCTCAGGTCCCAGCCGGCTGCTACTCCTGCTGGCCAGCCTCCCCCTCGTCCTGGGAGCCCCTATGTGAGTAACCCCCTTCCGGGTGGCGGGGAGCCGGCATTTGTAGGTACAGGCTCTTGTGGAATTCCAGAGGTGTGTGGGGGTCCAGGGTCAGAGGGTTGGGATGCTAGCGGACCTGGGCTGCCTGTGGTTCAGGGGTGCTTGTCGAACCCAGGTATTGTGATTTTGGGGTTTGCATGTTTGTACAGCGGAAGGTCTGTAGATTTAGGGTGTGGCTGTGTGACTGGGGCGATTTGGAAGCTTAGATTGCAGGAGCTGGGTGTTTGCGGTTCGGGGGCTGATGGATTTAAGGATTTGGGGTTAGAGATTGGCATTTTGGGTTTGTGTAGCCTCAGGCGGGGGTGTGTGGATTTTGGTTGTGTTTATACGGCTGCAGTGTTAGAGGTTTCACTCTGGGGAGTTCCAAGGTTTGCCCTAGGATTTGGGGTTTCAAAGTTTGGGATATATAGGTTTGGCTATGCATAGTTTGGGGTGCCTGAGGTTAGGATGTTTATAGATTTGGGAGTGTTTAAAGATGCAATGGTTTAGGATTTGGGGTTCAGGCTGAGGTAAACTTAGAGAGGTTAATGGTCTTGGTTTTGAGGGTAGGGGTTGGTGGGACCCACAGGCTTCCAGAGGCCAGGAGCGCTGGCCGGGGTGGGGGGCAATCGCGGTGGCTGCCGTCCTTGTCCTTGGGGACCCGGAGATAACCGTGCCCTGAGAGGAGAGTGCCCAGGCCTTGGCCAGGCTGGTGCCCCCGGCTGTCTCTGGATCTTCTCCAAGCCCTGGGCTGGGTAAAGTTCTGGAAACAAAGGCGTGGCCAGGCACAGCCGCTTCCCGGGTGAGGGCTGGAGTCTCCGGTCCCCGGGGATGACATCCGCACTCCCCTGCGCCCCTCTGTCAGGTATTCGATCATCACCCCAAACATCCTGCGGCTGGAGAAGGAGGAGACCGTAGTCCTGGAGGCCCACGAAGCCCAAGGCGACATTCCGGTCACGGTCACCGTCCATGACTTCCCGGCCAAGAAGCAGGTGCTGTCCAGTGA